GGGTGCCAGACACAAAGAGGCCAGGCCATAGCCAGTGGCACGCGATGGGCAGATTAACCAGCGTTTCCTCCCTTAACTGAAGCATTAGGACACCTGACTGAGTCCCGCCAATGGCAGCCAGCCAAGGATTTGTTGGGGGGAGAAGAGCTGGGGCTCGCCTTTCAACACTCAAGCTCTTCACCAGCACAAAGAGGGGTGGGATGGCGTTAGTGGTGAGGGGGAAAAATAGGGAGTGATGGGCTGGTGGCTTGGGGTTGGGAGGGGGGCTACAAGCCTTACCCCTCACCATCTGCTGCCCAGGCTAAGTGAGGACAGGGGTAGGGCCAGAGTGGAGTATGAGCGTGTGCACAGAAAACACGTGTATCTGCGTGCACGCACCTGTTAGTGTGTCACTGGGTGGGTGGGTGAGTGGAATGGCAGATGGACAGGGCATACTCCTGGCACCGGAGATTTCATGTTAGTCATCCCACATTAAGGAATATCCTCCCTCCCCCACATTCCTAACCCCTGCTACCTAATCCACACTGCCAACCAATTCTTTATGTTTTGCTCAGTTTGATTAAGACATCCATGATTAGAGACATTATAGGCTGGGTTAGAGGGTGTGTGTGTGTGTGTGTGTGTGTGTGTGAACTGCTTATCCACACGGCTGTTTACTATTATCAAAGTCTCTCCCCTTTTTCCACACATGCCACTAAAGAATATCTCTTATTCGAACACCGAAGACATATTTGAACGGTCACTAATCCTAATGTTTTCCATTTAGTGTCTTAAAAGGTTACATCAAAATGCAGCTGAAAGCTAGGAAACTCCTGTTTAATTGAACTAGACAGGATATCCACACACAGATACACCTTTGTGAGGACATTTATTGACTTAATGGACTCTCTAGCTCCTTACCCTAACCACACCTAACTTCAGCCACCTTAACTGAAAGTCTACTCCAACCCTAACCTTCCCCTAAGCCCAGTTCTAACCTTGACCCTAAGGCCATGCCTTAACCTGCAAACAGCCCTTTGAAAACAGTCATAATGTCTTCACTCATGTTCTAACTCAATGTATAGCCATACAATACACACATGCTGCCCTAAACTACACCCATTCATGCATATAATATTCTATAATACTTCCCTGCCCCCCTATGCTGTGTGTTTTTGTTGACACATTATCAGTGAGCTGTTTATTTCCCCTGTTAAAAAAGGAGGTCAGAGACACAGACAGTTCAGTCTTGCTGAACAGTAATCTGAAAATGCCTGTAATCCTCCATACAGAGCCCTTATGGAGACTGGTTGTAGTGTGGAGAGGTGTAGCAGCCATGTGTCTGACCATGTTTGACACACAGCCAGGACACACACAGAGGCGAGGCAGAGTAAAGCTGGTCGTGTCACCCACTGGAATAATTATGCCAGTTTTTACTCTATGCAGTGCAGTGTGAGTGCAGGTCCCTGAACTTATTCAGCTAACTGTTAGAACAAGTGGAATATTCGGGAGTCAATTAAATTATTGGTTTACAAATATATTATGAATTCAGGGCATGCAAAGCAGATCGATTGAGTTCTGTTTCTGAAATTTGAGATGAATACACACTGAATCACTGCTCTGTAATAAGTGTTTACTTGGCAACACCAGCAGTGCATCGTCCATTTTGTTGGAGACATTTCTTTTGAGTAACCCTAAATCCAGGGTACTTCCAAAGGATGTCTGTAATCATATAGTGGCACTTAAATTCCTGAAAAACGATAAATTAGAGCATCCTTTTAACAAGTTTCCACACTGTCAAAAATGCACTGGAACAGGTGTAGGCTATTTGTGGCATATGAGCTATTGGGTGCCCTTGTTGAGTGTCGTGCATCAACTAAACTCTTAAACTAGCCTTGTATTCATCCCAACTACATATTTGGGATGTAGTTTAGGCCCTCACCCACCTATAAGAAATACCAGGGATTACTGTAGGCATTGTTTATGGTTTAAAAGTTATGTTGATTAGATGAGTCCAGTATAAAGCTTAACCTGGATTTCAGCCTAGGTTCTTTTCTTTTTTTTTAGGTGTTTTTTTATGTTTGCCACACAGTACCAAATCATGCTTCCATCAAAACATCACCTGGACTTCATATGGCTGACAGGGCATCGCTCCTTTGGTTGTTGCAAAGTGACTGACCAAACCACAAACAAAAATAGTAAAGCACTCAAGCATCTTGAACAAAATAAGATGTTTCAAAGTAGTAGTCTCAGTAGCTAAATTTGCATTCAAAGTTGGGTCAAATATGCCAAAACGCACCTATCGGAAATCGCCACACAGAGTAGAAACTTTTGTAGCACAGCAACTGTGTTGCTAAGCTGCCATGAAGCTGGTGCTACTGGTGTAAAACAAGCTGAGGCAGGCCTATGGCTGAAAAATATATAAAATCAGAGGTATCCTATGTGAATAATACAATATTTATTTGCGTTTTGGTCTAACTTTTCTCTGGCTATAAACAATCCTATATGATAAAAACAGCATCGTCAAGCATAGGTGTGACTATAACATTATATTTACACATTCTTCCCCCTGGCTTCTGTCAGCCTCACACGCACCTAATTTTTGTGGCAACAACATTCTGCTCATATTTCACAAAACTATTTTGAAAGTACAAACAAAGTGGATGTCATTTTAAAAAAAATATTGTTCCACACTGATGAACATACACAACAGCAAAACCCTTTAGTATCAGAATACCTAGCTTTAAAATATAAACAAAATTCACTGGTGCCCACTTTCTTTATATACCTAACCAACTGCCAGTGTAGCCAGTTGGTTAGGTATCATAATTATAATAATTAAGCTGAATGGAGGTCACCGTTATGTTTTACCAAGGTGTGACAAGTGATTTTATATGGTTGGTCCAAATGCTGGTTAGTAAATTTCCTGGCAAAAACTAAGCTACATCCTGGAATCAAAGGAATAGGCTATTCTTAACCTCTACATTACAGGGATACTGAAAAGTATGAGTCAGGGGAATGATATAACATTACCAGGGCATTAAATATCCCTTGAAATGGGGATGAATTAGCACTGATGTAATTGAGCCGGCCATCCTCAAAACAATTTGAGGCCATTTGAGAAGGCCATCATAAAGCCAGCTGCAACTATAAATTTATCATACTAAATGCAATAATCGGTGTAAGCCAAACACTGCACATTAACAGCAGCACAACATGTCAAGTGGTGGCAGCAGCATGCTGTGGATACGCTTCTACTGTAATATACAACAAAATATGCAGAGATGGATAAAGACCTGCTGTAGGCTATGAAACAGCCATTTGAAAAAATATTTTGTATATATAAATATTTTTGACCCACCACCACGACCAAAAAAAGAGAAAATGCCATATGAGAGTTTAGAATTACACTGTTTGGAAATCTGAGTCATATGTAACTTCACAGATGCTGAGCACACGTAGGAAAACTAAAAGTACGTCCATATGCACTGAAGCCTGCAAATCCTGGCAAAGAGGCCTCTGCTTAAAGTTAAAATAAGAGTCAGTTATGCAATAATTATGAACTTGGTTTTGAATTATCTGCAGGCACGTGACGTTAAAAACGTGACCACTGCAAAAATGGTGTTACTTCATTTTTCCTCCTCAGCTGTGAATTTCTTTGCCTTCCAGTAACAAAATAATTTACAAAAAATATTATTGCCACAGAAATGAATTAATTATCTTTCATTCCAAATAAATATCAGAAAATATCAACATCAAATTGGCTCTTTAAGGTCAGTATGCAGGAGGAATGAATATAGTGGAGCTACAACTAATGATTATTTTCAGAATCAATTAATCTATTGATTATTTTCTCAATTAATGTTCTATCAAAATTTTGATTTGATTTGATTTGATTTATTCTTTCAAGCATGTAAAGACAGTTGATATGACAACACACATAATTTTACACATATCCAACAAATGCTAATCCAATATCAATTTGCTTATACCTAGTACATGCTTGAATGGAGTAGGAAGAAGTCAGACTTATCCAGTCCTACCCCAAATAGTTTAAGATTCCTAATGCCTGTTGCCAGAGCCTCTATTTGAGTTAAGGGTGCTGCCATTTTACTAATCATGATCCAGCTTTGTTTATTAATTGCACCAATAATCAGAATGTATGACATTTGTGGACACTATATTTCACATATTGATTAATAGTTATATACTGTATACTCAAGCCAACTATCACTTAAGGGGAAGATATACATATATATTTAACTGCAAATAGCCAGAGTACTACATTTCACAAAGGCAGTGTTAGAAGGCAAATTCCCAGGATCAAGTAAGTGCCACAAACACAGTTAGAGCCTGGAGGAAGACCTTCAGCATGTAAATTTAGGAAATACATGTTTATATCCTAACAGGACCCCATGCACAAAGATGTAAATTATTTTGAAAATTTGTGGCATGACTTGAAAATGGCTATTGGTTCTCCCTGCAGCTCCAAATCATTTAGGCTACTTTAGTAAAAGTGGCACTACCACACTACAAAAACACTCAGTTACAATTAAGTCTAGAGTATTCATAGTTCTACTTAGGTAAAAGTACTGTATCAGAAAAAATGCAGGCTACTTAAGCTCTCAGAGATCTGCGCTCTACAGTATAATTTTATTGGATTATTATCGATGCAGCCACATGTAAAGTAGTAGTTTGATATTGTAGCTGGTTGAGGTGGGGCCAATTTGAACCTGCTTTGGGGTGATTTAATTTAAAACATCCCACTGTACAAACTGATCTTGTGTCTCAGTCTTAATTTCTGAAGTAGCCATGTGTAGTTCTGACATAAATGCAATGGAGTAAAAATTAAGCCTACAAGACTTAGTAATATAAAATAGAAATAGTCAAGAATAGTAGAAATACCCCCAGCAGTGACTGTGTTCTTACTGTACCACATTACCAAAATGCTTCTTTAATAGTTCTATTGGTTATGTGAAGCTGAACACTTGGATACACAAATGACTGCTTGCATACATGTATTCATTCCTAATACATTTTATAACACCAAATACACAACATACAACAGCAAAAATAAACCATGATAAAAACATATACACAGCTCTTCTTCATTGCACTTCTTTGCAGTATTTTAGCGCAGTTGGCAAACAGCGCGTTACTGCCCCCGACCGACTTGGAGTGGGAAGTGTTTTGTAAATTTCAAAACTGAATGTGTGTCTGTTTCCACTACTTAAATTGATGTTTGTAACATGAATCTTCATCATCAGTTCTCATCCCTAAAAACACCAATTATACATACAGAGCAATATGATTCACAAGCACCACAAAAGGTCAAACTCCAAACTTACTGAAGTGTGTTAATATTGTTTTCTCTATAGATATAACAAATTGGTAAATGTGGCCAAAACACCGCATAGGACAATGAGGGAGAGCTGAAAGGCAAGTGGCAGACTTATTTTACCTTTATCTTAAAAACAAAAACAAATATTACATATAAAAATATGTTAGTCTTAAGAGTGGAAATATTTCTTTGCATGATTTAAACATTATCAAAATACAGCTGTTTTTGCAATTAACAAAATTATATTTACAAACTTAACTTCATCTTGGTCATTTAGCTAAATACTGAGTGATCCACATGCAAAGTTAAAAAGAAAAAACAACCCTAAATATTTGTCACTTTATTCCAAATAAAAAATTAAAAGACAAATCTTAGACAATTTGTAATGAGTTTACTTGAAAGCAAAATATAAAACCATACTACACAGAAAAAAAAAACTTTTGAGAGCATTTTAGTGTTGAACAAGCATATTTTTTTTTAAATGGCCAAAGGTGAACCATCATCACAAAGACAAGGGAAACAATTAATCAAAGTTTTATAAATGTCTATACTCCTGGGCATTTAAATAGACGTCACTGTAAGCCAAAATAACCCAAACTGATTTTAGTCTGAATCTACACCATATACACTTTGAAAAACACGTTTTACCATCTTCACTCCATAAGCGCAAAATACATCCAACAAATGATGCTTAAAAACAATCCTCTGACCCGAAGGAATGTAGTGCTGGTTCTTTTTTTTCCCCCCATGAAAATACAGTATCACTAAAAACATGATCATTATTAACTGAGCAGGTAGAAATCAGATCAACTTGGATTAAGCTACACATTAGTTGTTCAGTCCACTGTTAAATGATCTTCATTAAAGTTTCATTTCATTAGCTTTTGATTCTCACAATTACCTGGTCACCTTTTGTCAAGTATACCATGAGTGTTTTGACACCAAATATAGATGCATGATTTGTAGTACGATATGTGCTATGCATTAAAAAAAGAGATTCCAAACAGTACTTGGGCCATTTAAGATGTCATGATATGAAAACTGCTGTTCATATTTGATTCTACAATAACCATTCATGGTTGCACAAGCCACCTGCTTTTTTTTTTTTTTCTTCTTAAGGTTGGATTCCATAAAGTATATTCACCTCTTCATAGTGAGTGCCACACCCTTCAGAATCAGAATCTGCCATTCACGCTTGTCCAGTCGAAAGGAAATGATGGTAAATAGAGAACTACATACCAGGATCTGAGCTAGATATGTATTACCTTCCTTAGGACTCTGGAATTTAACAGCTGCGATGGCAGCAACGTGATCATACAATATATCTGCCAACACAATTTGGGGGGCACTAAATGTCTCCATCTCTCTGCAATATGTATGTGTATACACACACACACACACACACACACACACACTAGTGACTATGGTGGCTTTGCTAGTTTGGATATCATTAAATGCCCATTTCTAATCCACAAATCAAACCACAGCTGAGCTCTAGTTCTGAAATCCTAGCTTCATCAATCTAGGACATGGTTAGTGTGCTTGCTGCTGAGCAAATATTGGCCTTTAAATAAAAAGGCCAAAATTAAAATGACAGAATGCAAAATAATCCTGATTCAAGGGATGTTATTCTGCTATTTAAGACTGCCTCTTGAAATGTGAGAGAGAAAGACATGTTTTAAAGATTTCCTGCAAACTTAAATAGCCCATGTTTCTCCTTTACTGGTATGCCAGGGAATGGAACAGAAGTACACTATGGCATTTATATCTATATTATAAAAAGACATTCCTTACCCAGGTGAGTAGTTCTGTGGCACAGTGAGATTTAAAATAAAATATGACCGTGTTGACAGATATTAAGTAGTACCACACTGTCCCAGGTGAAGGAGGACGAGTGAAACCTTGGTTTGTACACAACTCCGTCTTCAGTCAGTATGAAGTCCATTAAAACCATTATGTGTTCCTACAGGGCATAATTCTCTGGGGAGAACAGAGTTGTCAGGCCCAATTCTTCACTCTTCAGTACATCCTCGTCTGGCTTTGGCTTTTTAAAGAGCGATGGAAGGTTCCGGATATGAACCTCCTTCCTGAACTGCTGGCACAAAGCTTTCTGTTGGCAGGCGACGCAGAGAGGAGAGGTTAAACAGAGTTATGCAAGATCTCCTAGAAAGAATTTCATTAGACCGTACAACCCTGTTGAGCTGCTGCACAGTTTTTGCTGCCGAGTACAGTAGATTTACAACACAACCAGAATTACACTGCTGAATAATGACTATTAAGGTCAGTGTTTCCCATCACCTCTGATGAGCTGTCTAGAATGAGCTCTAATAGTGAAGCCCTGCTCTCTAGTGGTTAAATGTGGCATTACCCCAACGGTTCCTGCTATGAGCTTCTTGAACTGGTCTCTCCTCTTCTTGTCTCCAACCTTCTGGGCATTGGGGTCCATAAGCCTGTGATCATATTGATCCAAAGCCTCTACACTGATGTTTGGGATCTGGGTCATCACTGCTCTCAGCTCTATGTAGCGAGGCCGCTAAGACAGAGACACAAATGTATGAACAAACAATAAGGGAGAAGCATTTGAGAGAAGCACCCATCTGCATATATGGCAAATTTACCTTTGTACTGCTACATGAAATTTGAAAACTTCACTTTTCAGCCTATATAATAAAAAGTATGATTCTGGGTGACTTTTGTTCAAACATCTTAGAAATGTGAACAAATAGCAGAAATATCTAGCCAAGATTAATCGCCGTTAGCCTCACCAGGCTTTCATAGATGAGCATGGCCAGCTGAGAAAGGGTGGTGTTGCAGACCTCGTGCTGCCCATGAACCTGAAGGGCCCTAAAAACACTGGTATAGAACCACGTGACTGCCTCGGGAAGCAAGTTACCCCCAGCGACCTGAGGAAGTACAAAGTGAACGGGGGAGAGAAACTTCAAAATATGTAGAAATTTAAGGTACTCTTTACAGCAACCTTTCAAGTCACAGGTGGTATCAGTTTAAACATTCAACTAATTAAAAACCCGACAGTGGCAAAGACATAACAGCACATTCAAGAGGGACTCAAATATAGTGGTCAGAAAATGGGCAAAGGCTTAAAAGAAAATGCACTGATCTGATGAGGGCAACATCTGTGTGCTCTTCATGCATCATCCAAACACCAAAGAAATTCTCCAGCTACAGCCATAAAAATTACCCATGTTGTTTACAATGAACTTGGCCAGTGAAGTTTATTTTGAGCCCCGTGCCCGTCATCCCGCTGCTGAAATATCAGCTAGAGCACACAGAACACAATAAATGCACAATTTACTCTTGTTTGAGTGATATTTGCTAAAATGTATTATATTTAGTAGTTTAAGAAAGCTTAATTTTTTTTTATTATTATTATTATTTTTTTTTAAAGCTAATCTTCAGTAGAAACAAATGGGCCGCAGAAGTCAGAACATTAACACACTATGGCATTGTTGGTTTTGGTCTTGAGAGGTTTGTCCCTTATTTAAAACCAAAGACTAACATTAAAAGATGTAAAAGATCCAGGCTTATACCAAATATTCTTGCACTGAGCATGTTACCTGCCGCAGAAGGGTCCAGCAGACCATGGAAGCAGTGCGATGACAGCTGACTGTGTCCTTCCATGAGAGTGAGGTGAAGGAGAGGGTCAACAGGGCCATGTAGATGTTCTGAGAGAGGGAATAAAAAAAGTTGATAAAAAGCATTTAGTGTGAAACTATGCTGTCTTCTGAATGTAATGAGATGTGTCTCTGGCTGACTTCGTGTTTCGTCAGGCATTTTCCCAGCTCAGTCAGCTCCTCTGTGGACTGGGCGGGAGGCGTCGACTGCACCGAATCCATCATCACGTCTTCATCTACAAGAGCACATTATAAGCAAAAATGAGGTGATGTTTATCAGAATCCAAACAAATATCAACCTATTGATTCAAAATGTTTTTATTTGACTCTTACCTTCTATTTCCTCTTTATTTGCTGCTGATTCAGGCACTTTTCTGGAAATACAGCTCACAGCTATGAGAGAAGGAGAAGCAGCGTTATGGCCCCATAAAAACTCGACTCAGTAATAGCTGAACAGGCAGTTGTGCTACACCCTGAAAACCCCATGCTTTACTTTTTTAGTACTTTCACATCAAAAGCCACCCTCACAGCCCAGTCTCTTGGCTTTTTTTAGTTTGTGATTGCACAGTGAAAGCAAATGACTCTAGACTTGACAAACAGCAACAGTTATTCAGCTGTTTACCAAGACAGCAAGTGGAGGATTGTGCGAGTTGTGCCATGAAAATCAAGCAGCAATTTTTATCAGTGTTGGACATGCCCCAACCTCCGTTGTTTTGGAGACCTATGTGCCTGTCAGATCCCAACTGAAAACAGCACATGCAATGAAACTGAAGCTGTTTGTTTGTAATATTATGGTGCCTTGATATTCTAGATACGTGAAACAGAGCCCACTTTGTAATAAAAACTGGATGACACATAACCAAAGTATCAAGTATGGGGCGTGGCCATCTTGCTTCTGTGATGCAACAAAAAACATTTTTCAGCAACCTACTGAGTATCCCTAGTTATCAAATGTAACAGCTGCTGCTCCAACATCACTCTCCTGACACAGCACCTCTTCCTCATCCTGACACACAGAAATGGGAGCAGTTGCATGAGATGCTGAGCTTACCGAGAAGATCCAGCACTTCCCTGGTTAACGAGCGTGTCAGTTGCTCCTCCAACATCTCCTGTGTCACCTGGCTCTCCTGACAAAGCACCTCCTCCTCCTCCTCCTCACCACTATTAAAAAAACAAAAACAGAACCAACTGGCTTATCCAATGTGTAGCTTAGACATTACAAGTTATTAAGGAACTAAACTGTATATTGAATAGAGGCAAATAAACCACAACTCACTAGACGGAGGTCCTCTGGTTAATGACCTGCCATTTGACATTGAGCCTCTGCAGTGTGAAGAAAAAACAAAGTGAGGTCCAACAACTGTAAGAGAGTGAATAAAGTGGATCTAATGATGTGATTAATGGTTAAGTGTTACAGAAAAGGCAGTGTGGAGAGCCTGACCTGCTGCATGTAGGAGAACAGAGGGCCCAGCAGGGGGCAGAGGAGACTGTCATAGTACTCCTGAGGACAGGATAGCACCAACTGCTTCCAAAACAACCGTGCACTTGTTAAGAGAATTTTACTTAACATAAAGTGATAGCTAAGCTATGACCATGCAGAGAAGCATCTATGTAAATGAATAATAAGAAAAAAAAAAACCTTGTACACAAATGTATATCACCAAACTACTGCCCATAGCAGTTAAAAAAAAAAACAAACAAAAAAACGTAATGGAGCAAAGGCAGATAAGGATATGAATCATAGGGCGAAGTCTGTGGTCAGGCACATGGTCGAGG